CCCCCCCCCCCCCCCCCCCGAATATCCTGCCTGGGGGGCGGGGGGGGGGGGGAGGAAGATGAGGTTTGCACCGGCCACAATAGCAATGTGCAAACGCTGGAAACCCAACCTGAATTGGAGCCCCTCGGGAAAGGGGTCCTCTTCCCCTGGGACACCCAAGTATCTTCCCACTCTTCCAGGTGCCTGTGGGAATTGGGGGGGGGGGGCGGACACTAACCTGTGTTGCCTCCTTCCTTGGTGCTGCCCCTGCGGGCTCCTTCGGGCATGGTGATGCGGGGGGGCCCTGGGCACTTGTCCTGGGAGGGAGACAGCGGCAAACGTGTGAGACATGCACAGAGGCTCTCCTCGGAGCCTGAGTTCTCTCGGCGGCGTGCAACAGAGGAGCACTCTGTGGCCTCAACCCAGAAGAGACGCAAGGCAGTGCCACAGCCCCGCCGTTCTGCACGACTTGAAAAGGAGTCATGCTCCAGTTTCCATCAAAGCCCCCTAGAACCACCAGGGCCCTGCCCAGAGAGGAAGAGGCCTCCCTTGGCCAACCCCTCCCTCTTTCCCGGGGGGAGGCTCAGATGAGGACCCCGAGGCCAAAGGTGCCCAACACTTCTTCTCGAGGGGCGCTCACCTCTCCCCAGCAGCCTCCCCCCAGTACCCAAAACGTGGCCCCGACCTATTTGCCCTTGAGCTCCAACCCGGCCCAGAAAGCCCCCCCATTCAGTTGCAGCTGCTTCTGCGCATCTGCAGCACCGACAGATCCTGGCGGGCACAGCCCTCCGTCCCCTGCCTGGGGTCCTGCCGGCTGCAGCTGGGAAGGGTCTCCAACAGAGCTCTACCTGGCAAATGACAATCATCACCAAATTCTTCTTTGGTTCCTTGGAGAACTCTAAAAATGAGCCCTCCTGCTTCCCTCGGAGCCCCCCCTTAAATCCTCTGGATCCCCAACCCCCATGAGATCCTTTAGATCTCATTCCCCACCCCCCCAAGATTCAAGCCTGGCTCCCAGGTGCTTCTCAGCCCCATGGGAGAGGAGGGAGCAAACATGCTGCAGGTTAATAGCGGGGGGGGGGGTTGGTCCCCTCCCCAAGCCATGGGGTACAAAGATATCTTCCTTCTTCTCAGATAGCAACGTACCCTCCATGCCGAGAATTGGCAACTTCTCTCTCCCAATCAACCTGGGGAGTGCCAGAAGCACCAGTCCTTCACATCTGGAAAAACCAAACTTTTTTTGGAAAAGTTTCTAGTCCTCATGGCTAGAGCCAGAGCTAAGTTGAGAGTGCCTCAGCAAAGAAGCTAACCAGATCCGTCCCTGGGCCAATTGCCCCCTTTATCCCGGAATCCATCAGGAAGAACCCCAAAGCCCCACACTCCTGCTGAGCAACGCGGCGCAGGCGGCTGCAGCAATACGAAATAAAATGAAAGCTAATCGGAGCAAGAGAACCATGGCTCGTACTCTCTAAAAGGGCAATTCATCTGTGCAGTTCTTGGCGGTTCTGGGGGCAGACAGCAGGGGTCCTGACGCAAGCCCCTGGCTCTCCCTCTGGATGCTCAGCCTCACTTCCACTGGGCCACTCCTCTCTCCCCAACCCAAGGATGCCCGAGAGAGCTCCCACCCACCACGGAAGGCGAGTTTCTGCATGACTTTCTATCAGATGCTTTCCTGCTCTTCCTCATGGTAGCGTCCGCAGCACTTACCTCTAGTTTTTCCCTGAAACCACCACCTTGCAGAGTAGGTTGGGGTGAGAGATAGAAATTGACCCGGGGCTCCAACAGCTGAGGGCAGAAGGGACCCTCCCTGCTACCTCCACTTGCAGGCTCGACCCTTTAGAGCTTGGCCCCTGGATTGGGCAGACATCTGGGAGGAGAAGCTTTCTAGCAAAGGTGGCTGAATCTATCTAATTTAGGGGCACCCCAGGGGACAGCCCCCCCCACTTCCTCCCCCTTGCTTGGACCCTGCCTGAAGCCAGGGGGCTTCCACCGTTGGAAGCAAGATGCTGGGAGCGCCTCCCACTTGCGGACCGCTTTCCTAACAGCTGTTTTTGGGTTTTGGGAGAAACTCCGAGCCTGAGGAACTCCTTGCTCCTAAAGACCCACCAGAGACTCTTTTTCAAATCCACTTGGAGATTGGGGCAATGTCTCCATGGAGTGGATTGAAGGAGGGGGCGGAAAGGAGCAGGCGAAGCCTCCCAGGAAGAGGCGGGGACCAAGGGGATGGAACTCGGGTGCCCCCGGGCTTTTGATCACCTGCAAGACTGACTGGATCCCAGGCTGAGCAACTGAGGCCAAGCTGAGAGAGAAAGGGGCAGGGGCGCTGCCACTCTCCCACCCATCTGCTGAAGGATTCAGGGGCAGCATTTGTCCACTCTTCTGCCAGCTCTGGAGGAGGTTGAGAAGGCCACCCTGCACCCTAGACTGGCCGAGAGGCCACTGGCTAGTTCCCACTTTGGGTAGGAGCATGTTAAAATCTGGGTCCCAATCCCGCTTGTGAAAGTCCCCATCTTTTTGGCAGGACGCACTGCTGCCAGCCATGCAGCTAAACCAGCTTGGTGCCAGCTGTGTGGCGGGCCAGCTCGGCGAGAAGATATATAGGCCTCACTTCTCTCCGCTCTGTAATGATTGGGTCTCTGGGATAAGCAGCTTTCCAGATGCGGTAGGACTGCGACAATCCTATTTCCCAAAGCAGGATTGTGGGAATGACCACTGCTGTGCATTTGGAAGAAGCCTGGTTGGAAAAGCTGTCGTTTAATTGCATTTGACTGGAAAAATGGCAGCCCTTGGTTTGCGGCACAGAATTGGCTCTTTGACTTTAGGGCATAATCTGCAAGGATTGATGACCCTGGTTATTGCACTCCAAAATTCTCAACAGTTTTTGTTTCATTTATTTAAAAAAAGTTTGGGATGGGGGAATCTTGACTAAGATTCAATCCTACTTGGTGAACCTCCAAGTCATGGTGCCACAGATACCAACTTCCTGATTCATTTGCCAAGGGCCAAAAATACCCTTTTATGCAGCCACATCTGTTTCAACGGATGTCTGAGTTTTGTTTGTTTTTTAATATGGTCTCATCTTGCTCTCAGCTGGCCTGAGTGTGGGAAAAGGAGCAGGCTAATGATTTACATAAAATAAATTGTCCCTCCATGAACAACTTTTTTCCCCCCTCAACATTAAAAACAGCCAGAAAAACACATTAGTTTCTTTGCTACTCAGGGCCTCTTCCCGAGCTCGTCTCCTCCTTCTGCATCCATCTTCCACAAACGGGACAGGATAATTCACACCCCGACACCCCCATCCCCCGAAACTTTTTTTCCCAGCCAAACTGAACTCTCCTGGACTTTCTCTGCATCTGAATCTACCGCAGAATCTGAATCTGAATCTTCCAACAGAAGAGAGTATCTCTAGCTTGGGGTTGAACATGGAGTCCTTGGTGCTCTCTGAGCTGGGTGGTTTGTTTGCAGACGTTTCATTGCCCAACTAGGTAACATCATCAGTGCTGGTGAGGGTGGGGTTTTCTCCCTGTTTATATACAGTAGACTGCCCTGCCAGTGTTGACGGGGGTGTGGTCTCCTCCTTGGTAGTTCCTTGATTAGGGTGTTGTTTTCTGCTTGATGGTTTGTCTGGTGTTAATCCCTGCTTATCTGGGTGTTGGCTGCTGGAGAGGATGTGTTCTGGCCTTTTTTTTGTCCTTCTTAGCTTTTTTATTCTCTTCTGAATGTGGTTTATCTCTATGTGTCTATGGAAGGCTGATTTGTCTGAATGCCAGGCTTCCAGGAATTCTTTGGTGTTTTTGGATTTAGCTCGGTCTAGGATGCTCACAGTTTCCCAGTTGAAGTCTGTCCATGTGTTGCGAGAGTACAATACATGGGCAGGCCCCAGGGAGCAAACCCCACGCTCCCTCCCACTGATGATGTGACCTAGTTGGGTAATGCGATGTCTGCAAGCAAACCGCCAGGCTCAGAGAGCACCAAGGACGCCACCGTTCTGCGTGTTTGTGTGCACGAAGGAGAAGTTAGAATGTTTGGAAACCTCCCTTGGCGGGACAGGTGCTGAGCAACTGGCTGTTTGAACAGAAAGGGAAGCTCGGGTAGTGCTGATAGGCTACAGGTAAGTTTTAATTTAATACATGAACCAAGACAGCCTTTTCCAACATGGGGTCCTCCAAGGTCATCTCTGTGCAACTCTATAAGAATACAAAAATTATATGTCAGATCCAGGGTTTAAATCCCAAGCTTTTTCCCTCGGCCTTTTGAAGTCAATGGACTCTCGGCCAGTTTTCTCCTGGTGCTAAGATTGGGAGGAACTCCAGCCTTTTCCAACATGTACCAGAGCTCAACCCCTGGAATTCCGAACCCAAACAGCCAATGGAAGTTCAGCGAGTTGGAAATCCAGCACCTGCTGGAAAACGCTGCACGGGGAAAGGCTACGCAGCAAAAATTCTAAGGATGCCAACAGAAACCGTAATAGGGTCCCCAAGAAAAAAAAGAATGATGCTCTTGCAGCACGCTGAACTACCAACCTGGGTTAACGAAACCCTGCTGATTCATGTAACGTGCTCTGCTGGAGCAGATAAACTGCATTCTGGCTTAATGGGCCATGCTGAAACCGAACAGATGGCTTTCTCACAATGCTTTGAACCAAACTACCTATCCCCACAGGGGTGTGCGCAGGCGGGTTCGAAACAAGTCAAGATGGCAGCCACCCTTTCAGTGGAGTTTAATGTGCAGGACCCCCAAGAGTGGGGGGTGTGACTGGCACCCCAAAAAGGGAAGAACAAGGAAGGTTCGAAAGAAAAAGTCCACCACAGCCTTTGCAGACCCAACTTTCGGGGCTTCTCCTGCACAGTAGCAGTTCCTCAGCCATAGGTCTGGCTGAAGGCGCCATCCAAATGATACCATTTGAGGGTGGGGGGAGCCGGGGGCCATCATCCTGTGACCTTCTTGCCTGAGGCTGCGTGAAGCTGATCCGTCTGACAATGGCAGCTGAGAAGATGCGGTTGGAGGAAAGGCTCCTTAAGGGCAGCTGGGAGAGAGGAGGAGGAGGGGGAGGAGGATGCGGGGGGGGGGAGACGTGTGAAATGCTTGAGAAAAAGCTGTTGGTTTGCTTTTCCACATCCAATCTGGCGTGCGCTGGGCAAAGGCGACATTCCGGAGCAAAGGCAGCAAGTCCAGCAGCTGGCTGTGCGGTGTTTGCCAGATCAGCCTTTCCGAAAGGAGGGAGACCGAAGGGCCGTCCTGGGAATCAGGAGAGCCAGCTCTGGTGGGGGTGGAGATCAAGATGCAATGCAGCCGTTCCCTCTCTTTCAAAGGCAGAGCGTTTGCAGAGGGGG